AAAAAAAAACTCTAAGTACGGCATCTTACAAGGTATAAAGGGTCCAGAGTGATTCCAATGACTTGATCGCTTTGGTTGGTGTCAGATGAAAGAAGCCAAGAAGTCCAGTGTTAACCCAGTGTCCTGACCTTCAAAGGGTTTGTCAGACTCCTTGGGTCCAGAACAGGCATCTTGAGTAGGAATATTTTTATCAGTCTCCCTTTTCTGTTTGACACTGTCTTTCTAAATTTTTTAGTCATATCACAGAATCACTTCCGCACCAGCCAGAGTGGGAAAATCCTAATCGTGACAGAGGGTCCTGGCCACAGCCTGTTGATACTGGAGTTTCAGAAGCGAGCCTAGGTGATGGCGAGCCCCACATCCCATCTCTGCTGTCTATGTCTACGAGGAACCACATGGATATCACCATTCCACCCTTACCTCCAGTAGCTCCAGAAGTCTTGAGAGTTGCTGAACACAGACACCGGAGGGGTCTTATGTACCCTTATATCTACCACGTCCTCACTAAGGTGAGGCAGCACATCAGCACTTACATCCCTGCTCTTAACACTGTATTTCCTACTTCCTAGGACTGTAAGTTACCAGAGAACATTCTGATCATTGGTATATGAAGTCAGAAAAAGGAGACCACATACGGTGGGCCCCTCATCATACTAAGGCCGTGGGTGAGGCCACACTAGCAGGAGTTGGGACTGTGTGGTAAATGAAGCCCCTAGAAGAGAAGTGTGATTGTGAGATTTTGAAGTAGATAATGCACCAAGTTGGTGGACTCTGGTTCTAGGGATGGACACAGTCTAAGAAGCATTATGCCCTTTTACTTATCTCTTTCTCTACCTGTGTAAAGCTGTTCCCCTCCTCCAGTCTTATACATACCCATCTCCCAGCAAAATGGCTAAGGTGGACATTCCCCATTACTTAGCTATAGTCAGTTATTGTTGAGACTTTATTTATTTTATTTTTTGAGACAGAGTCTCATTCTATTGCCCAACTGGAGTGCAAGGGTGCAATCTTGGCTCACTGCAACCTCCGCCTCCCAGGTTCAAGCAATTCTCCTGCCTCAGCCTCCTGAGTAGCTGGGATTATAGGCATGTGCCACCATGCCTGGCTAACTTTTGAATTTTTAGTACAAACAGTGTTTCACCATGTTGGCCAGGCTGGTCTCGAGCTCCTGACCTCAGGTGATCCACCCACCTCGGCCTCCCAAAGTGCTGAGATTACAGGCGTGAGCCACCGTGCCTGGCTGCTGAGACTTCAAAAATGAAATACAGAGGCGGGGCGCGGTGGCTCACGTCTGTAATCCCAGCACTTTGGGAGGTCGAGGTGGGCTTTTCACGAGGTTAGGAGTTTGAGACCAGCCTTACCAATATGGTGAAACCCCATCTGTACTAAAAATACAAAAGTTAGCCAGGTGTCATTACGGTATGTACCCGTAATCCCAGCTAGTCAGGAGGCTGAGGCAGGAGAATTAACTTGAACCAGGAGGCGGAGGTTGCAGTGAGCCGAGATTGCACCACTGCACTCCAGTTGGGCGACAGAGCAAGACTTCGTCTCAAAAAATAAAAATAAAAATGAAATTTATTTTTTAAGTTGACTGTGATGAGCTAAGCTTGTTACAGCTTCTTTTTAGTATGAAACGCTGTCTAAATACAAATAAAAAATTTAGCAGATAAGCCACAGAGGCTACAGTTTATCATTGGTTCTTCTCAGCTCAGTTCTAAACTTAAGGTAACTCATTTTTTTCTTTTCCCTGAACCTTTCTCTTGTTAGGGTGAAATTAAGATCCCCGTATGTATCGAGGATGAGTGTAACATGGAGCTGCCTCCAGCTGCTCTTTTATTCCGGTCAGCTCGTCAATATGTATATGGAGTTCTTTTTAGTCTGGCAGAGACACAGAGGAAAATGGAACGTTTGGCCATGCGACGGCGTCTGCCTGTGGAAGGTAAGTGTAGTTCTAGCCATGACAGTTCTCTCAGCACTTGACACAGAGCTATTATGTCTGTGCAGGCACATTGGGTACCTATTTAAGAAAATGCAACATTCAACAGAATACATATTGGTATTGGATATACATTAACTTAAGCCCCAATTCTGCAATTATTAAGCATTTAGAGTGACTACTCTTTATAGGAACCATGCTCGGCCAGGCATAGCAGCTCATACCTGTCATTCCAGCACTTTGGAAGGCCAACACAGGTGGATCACTTAAGCTCAGGAGTTCGAGACCAGCCTGGGCATCATGGCAAGACTCCATCACTATAAAAAATGCTAGGCAGGGCGCCTCATTCCTGTAATCCCAGCACTTTGTGGGGCGGACGCAGATGGATCTCTTGAGTCCACGAGCTCAAGGCCAGCCTGGGCACCATGGAGAAACTGCCTCTACTAAAAAGAGAAAAAATTAGTCAAGCAAGGTTGTGCGCAGCTGTAGTCTCAGCTACTTGTGGGGCTAAGATGGGAGAGCTGATTGAGTCTGGAAGGTGAAGGCTGTAGTGAGCCCTGATCATGTTACTGTACTCCAACCTGGGTGACAGAGTGAGACCCTGTCTCAAAAAATATATTGGCTGAGCATGGTGGCACATGCTTTTAGTACCAGCTACTTGTGGGACTGAGACAGGAAGATCACTTGACCCTGGGAGGTGGAGGCTGCAGTAAGCTATGATTGTGCCACTGCACTCCAACCTGGGTGACCCTGTCTCACACACAAAAAAGAGATAACCGTACTGAGTTTTGGGAACATAGAGCTGTATCTAGCAGTCTTTCTCTTCCACGAATTTTTTGTTTTGGAATTTGAACCTGTAGGTAGTTGGAGACATTGCCATATTTTAAACTACAGAGTGCCATAGTCAAATTAGTATGTTCAGGCCGGGCGTGGTGACTCACGCCTGTAATCCAAGCACTTGGAGGCCAAGGCGAGCAGATCACCTGAGGTCGGGAGTTCAAGACCAGCCTGACCAACATGGTGAAACCCCGTCTTTAAAAAAAAAAAAAAAAATTAGTATGTTCAAAAGACCATTTCTCTGTTTCTGGGAAGCTAGAGTAGATCAGATTTACTTTTCCTTAGTCCTCATGCTAAGTACAACTAAACGCCCAGGACATTATCCATAAAACAAGCACAAGACATTCTAGAAAGTAGAGATCCTGGGGCTTAAGGAATGACACAGTGGTGCAGTGGTGAGTTCCTGAATTTTCTTCTTGCCTCACATATCCCAGACTGGGTGTGGGGCAAACTGGCAGCCCAGAAATGTCAACAGCTGCAGACCAGTATAAGGCCCTCCCAAAACCTCCTTTCTCTGGCCAAAAGACCAGAAAGGAACAACCTAGCAACACAAAGATTTTTACATAATAACCTCTGTACTCTAGCAAGATACCACAGAAAAACTGTGGTCTACCCCCACCCCTACCAGCAAAGGCCAAATGAAGAGCCTAGACTTCCATAGTTACCCAGGCTGTAATGAGGTGTACCACCTGCTTTCCTTGGGAGGTGTCAGACAAGGTCAAGTGGGGAGCCAGGACTTCCACTTCCACCTGACAATGACACAGTGTCCCCCTTTACCCACCAGAGTAAGGTTTAAGTAAGATCCAGAGTCTTTTAAAATAATACCCAAAATATCCAGTTTTCAATTGAAAATCCTTCATCATACCTAGAACCAGAAAGATCTCAAATGCAGACCTCAAGATAAGAAAAGGAAATGAACATAGAGGTCGGGTGCAGTGGCTCATGCCTGTAATCCCAGCACTTTGAGAGGCTGAGGCAGGCGGATCACGAGGTCAGGAGTTCGAGACCAGCCTGGCCAGCATGGTGAAACCCCGTCTTTTCTTAAGATACAAAAAATTAGCCAGATGTGGTGGCGCGTTTCTGTAATCCTAGCTACTTGACAGGCTGAGGCTGGATAATTGCTTGAAGCCGTGAGGCGGAGTTTGCAGTGAGCTGAGATCGTGCCATTGCACTCCAGTCTGGGTGACAGGGTGAGACTCTGTCTCAAGAAAAAAAAAAGAAAGAAAAAGAAAATGAACATAGAGATGACAGAAGTTTGAATTATCTCACAAGGATTTTAAAACAGCCACCATAAAAATGCTTTGGTAAACAGTTATAAATGGGTTTGATGTTTGCATAGCAAAAGAAACAACAGAGTCAATAGCCTAAAGAATGGGAAAAAATATTTGCAAACTGCATTTGACAGAGGGCTAACACTCAGAATCTATAAGGATCTCAAACAACTCAAGAAAAAAGCAAACAATCCCATTAAAAAGTAGGCAAAGGACAAGAGCAGACATTTTACAAAAGAAGATGTACAAGTTACCAACAAATACATGAAAAAATACTCAGCATCACTAGTCATCAGAGAAATGCATATTAAAACCACAATGAGCTGGGTGCAGTGGCTCATGCCTGTAATCCCAGCGCTTTGGGAGGCTGAGGTGGGCAGATCACATGAGGCCAGGAGTTTGAAACTAGCCTGGCCACCATGAAGAAACCCCGTCTCTACTAAAAATACAAAAAATTAGCTGGGCACGGTGGCATGCACCTGTAATCCCTTCTACTCGAGGATGTGGGAAGGGGGTGGGAAGGAGAGCAGGGCTGAGGCACGAGAATTGCATGAGCCTGGGAGGTGGAGGTTGCAATGAACCAAGCCTAAAACCAACAGATGTTGGCAAGGATGCAGAGAAAAGGGAATGCTTATATACTCTTGGTGTGAATGTAAATTAGTGCAACCTTTATAGAAAATAATATAGAGATTTCTCAAAGAACTAAAAATGAACTACCATTCGATCTAGCAATCCCACTACTGGGTATACATTCAAAGGGAAAGAAATTATTATATCAAAAAAGATACCTGGGCCAAGCATGGTGGCTCACACGTATAATCTCAGTACTTAGGAGCCCCAGGTGGGAAGATGCTTGAGACCAGGAGTTTGACACCAGCCTGGGCAGCATAGTGAGACCCCATCACTAAAAAAAAAAAAAAATTATTTTGAATATGGCTGGGCATGGTGCACACTTGTAGTCCCAGCTATTCTGCAGGATTGCTTGCACCCAGGAGTTTGAGGCTGCAGTGGGCTATGATAGCTCCATTGCACTCCAGCCTGGATAACAGGGTAAGACCTCATCTCTTAAAAAGAAAATGCAGTACATAAAATCAACACTTCAGACCAATATCCTTCATCAATGTATGTTATGGATTGAGTGTTTCTGCCCCCCTCCACAATTCATATGTTGAAATCCTGACCCACAATGTGATGATATTAGGAGATGGGGCCTTTGGGGGGTAATAGGTCATGAGTGTGGAACCTTTGATGAATGAGATTAGTGCCCTTATAAAAGGAACCCCAGATAGCTCTTTCTACTCTCCACTATATGAACATACAATGAGAAGACAGCCATCTGCAAACCGGGAAGCAGGTCCTCACCGGATGTGTCTGCCAATATCTTGATCTTAGACTTCCAGCCTCAACAATCGTAATAAATCAATTTCTGTTATTTATAAGCCTCTCAGTATTTGGTACTTTGTTATGGCAGCCAAATTGACTAAGACAATATGAATGCAAAAATTCTTAACGAAATATTAGCCAGGGGAATTCAGCAATATATAAAAAGAATTACATGCCATGGCCAAGGCCGAGTAGGGTTTATTCCATTGTTATAAGCCTTGTTCAATATTTGAAAAATCAATAAATATAATCCACCAAATAAACAGGCTAAAGAAAAAAGATCATGATTATATCAATGGATACAGAGAAAGCATTTGACAAAATTCAACACTCACTCATGATAAGAACTATCAGGAAACTACAAGAATAGAGGGGAACTTCCTCAAGATAAAGAATATCTACAAAGAACCTACAGCTAACATACAGTCATTCCTTGCCATATGTGGGGGATTGGTTCCAGGACCCCCACATATACTAAAATTCGCTCATAATCAAGTCCCACAGTAGGCCCTGCAGAACCTGTGTGTACCAAAATTGGCCCTCTATATACGTGGGTTTGGCATCATGTGAATTCTGTATTTTCTGTCTGTGTTTGGTTGAAAAAAATTTGTGTGTGGACCTGTGTAGTTCAAACTTGTATTCAAGGATCAACTATACCTAGTGGTGAAAGATAATGTTTTTCCCCTAAAATCAGGAACAAGGCTAGGATGTGTGCTCTTTCCACTACTCTTCAACATAGTACTAGAAGTTTTAGCCAGTGCAGTAAGGCAAGAAAATGAAATGGAAGGCACAGACGTCAGTAAGGAAGAAATAAAACTGTAATTGCAGATGACATATAGTTATTCTATGTTGAAAATCACAAGGAATCTACAACAAAACTCCTGCAACTAATAAGTGGGTTTGTTAAGGTTGCAGGATACAAGATGAACATAAAAATTGACTACCTTTCTATATACTGACAATGAATATGTGGAACTGAAACAAAAAAATGCAGGACCATTTACAGTCCTTCCAGAGAAAATGAAATAAACATTTAACAAAAGGTATTCAAAATCTGTATGCTGAAAGTCACAAAACGCTGATGAAACAAATAAAAGATCTAAATAAATGGAGAGATACAGATGTTCATGAATTAGAAAACTCAACATAGTAAAGATGTCAGTTCTCCCCCAGTTGATAACAAAGGTTTGATGCAATTCCTGTCCAAATCCCAGCAAGATTCTTTGTAGATACAGACAAGATAATTGTAATGTTTATACGGAAAGACAAAGGAATTAAATGAGCTAAAATGATTTTTGAAAAGGAAGAATAAGTTGGAAGCAGTTATTGAACCTGATTGTAAGACTTATTGGGTAACTACAGTAATTAAGATTGTAGGCCAGGCATGGTGGCTCATGCTTGTAATCCCAGCACTTTAGGAGGGCAAGGTGGATAGATCCCTTGAGCTCAGGAATTCAAGACCAGCCTGGGAAATATGGGGAGACCCCATCTCTACTGAAAATACACACACAAAAAAAAACAGCCGGATGTGGTGGTGTGCACCTGTGGTCCCAGCTCCTCAGGAGTCTGAGATGAGAGGATCACCTGACCCCGGGGGGTGGAGGTTGCAGTGAGCTGAGATCATGCCACTGCACTGCAGTCTGGGTGTCAAAGAGAGACCCTATCTCAAAGACTATAGGCAGAGGTATTAACATGTAGATCAGTGGAATACAACAGGGCATCCAGAAATAGTCCCATATGAATACAGCAGACTGATTTTTTTTTTTTTTTTTTTTTTGAGACAGAGTCTTGCTCTGTTGCTGCGGCTGGAGCACACTGGCACGATCTCCGGTCACTGCAACCTCTGCCTCCCAGGCTCAAGCAATTCTTCTGCCTCAGCCTCAGCTTAGATTACAGGTGTGAGCTACTGCGCCTGGCCAACAAACTGATTTTTGACAAAGCTACAAAAGCACTTGATGGGAGGAAAGACAGTGTTTTTTTTTTTTTTATAAATGATATTGGATCAACTGGACATCCACAGTTAAACAAGTACCACATATCTATACTGGTATCTAAAATATATAAAGAACTCTCAAAACTGAACATAACAAAAAAATCAAATTAGAAAATTGGCAAAAGATATGCACAGACATTTCACTGAAAAAGATCTACATATAGCAAACAAAGACATGAAAAGATGTTCAGCATCAGTAGCCATTAGAAAAATACAAATTAAGGCCAAGTGCAGTGGCTCACACCTATAATCCCAGCACTTTGGGAGGCCAAGGTGGGTGGATCACAAGGTCAAGAGATCAAGACCATCCTGGCCAACACGGTGAAACCTCATCTCTACTAAAAATACAAAAATTATCTGGGCATGGTGGCATGCGTGCACCTGTAGTCCCAGCTACTGAGGAGGCTGAGGCAGGAGACTCACTTGAACCCGGGAGGTGGAGGTTGCAGTGAGCCAAGATCGCGCCACTGCACTCCAGCCTGGTGACAGAGCAAGACTCCGTCTCAAGAAGAGAAAAAAAGAAAAGTACAAATTAAAACCACAATGAAATATCACTACACATTTACCAAAATGGGAAAGGTGAATAATAGTGATAATACCATTGTCCCAGAAAGGATGCAGAGAAGCTGGATCACTCATAAATGCTGATGGGAATGTAAAATGGTACTGCCACTCTGGAAAATAATTTGTCAGTTTCTTTCAAAACTGAAAATAGACTTATACAACCCAGCACTTACACTCTTTGGCACTTATATCAGAGAAATAAAGACTTATTTTCATGCAGGAACATATTCACAAGACAGCATGGCAGCCCCAAACTGGAAGCAACCCAG